AAATTTGTGTGCTTCATCACCCATGCCCATGGAAAAAACACCTTGCTTTTGTTTGTCATKAATTTCCTAGAAGTCTAATTTAGACACAGGCTCTGAAGTTCAGAATGAGGGTAATAAAATTATTTCCTTCAATCAAGAGTAGCTCATGAATGAAAATAGATTTCACCTTTTAGGAAAAACACATCATTATTTAAAATACTTCTCCTGCAAAACAACAATTTAACACTGAGCTTTATCAGCTCATCTGGTATATTTAAGTTACAAGCAACATTTTATCTGGATTTGCCTTTCCTGTGTTCCCCTTAGACAGAAAAAAATCCCTCTCATTATATGTAATATTCACAAGTTTACCGTTACAATTTAGGATGAATGTAAAGCCACCCTCAAGACAATCTTAAGTTAATTAAACCCCATGAAAACTAAGACATAAACTGGGATTACATACCCCACTCTGCTGCTCCAGCTTTGTCTGTTGCCCCACAAAGTTGTTAAAATGTCATTCAGAGCCCYTGTCTTTCAGCCACCGATCTTAACCAATGTAAACTTCAGCTTATTTACATGCAGAATTTCATGTGAATTTGATTTTGAAGTAACTGCTCTTGATACAAACRAGYCTACAAACTAAAATWAAGGTTTTGCTTAAAATTAAATAGTGGTTTGTGGTTTTTTTTTCAATTCATGGTGGTGTCTGACAAAAAAAATTACATTGATTCATCCTATTAAGTACAGCTGCAAGTTTGCAGAAGTTCCTTTTGTATTTGCTTTTGTGGGTTGAGTGTTAGAAGCTCATGTGTGGTGCTTCTCTTAGCCTTCCTTGGAATTTCAAGGAGATCTCTTCATCTCTCCCATGGCATCTTTGTGCAAAAGTTGACAGATCYATCCTCAGCCTGAGAATGCATTTGTTCTTTGAAAAAGTGAAATTTATTTTGAGGAAACTTTTTCCCCCCCCACATCTCTTCTACCTTTTTGTATATAAAAAGTAAGCAATCACAATGTTAGGGAATATAATGAAAAAAATATTTTGTGTCCCATCATGGGAGTGAGGACAGATTTAGAAGAACAGTTTAAAATTGCCCAGATGGATTGGTGCTCCAGCTGTGTTTTTTGAGGGGTGTSTGTAGTTGTCATATTCCCATTACATCAATACACGAACCATCCTTCTCCTCTCAACCATCCGCTGCTGTAGCCAAATATTTCTAGTAATTTTATTATTATACTTTGAGKCAGTTTGTTCCCCTGACATCTGAACAGGGACAGGGAAAGCCACGATCCGTTTGCAGCCACGAGCAGAGGGATCACAGCAAAACCTTTTCACGTATTTCCCACTATTGCAGATCTGATTGCAGACACTGGGTGGAGCARGATAATTACAAGTTGCTGTTTGTTCTGCGTGTACATGAGGAACAGCTCAAAATGCTGTTGCAAAAAAACAATTTTTCACTGCAACCACTTGTTTCTCTGCTTGCTCTCTGCATAAAGGATGGTTCAGAGGACAATAGTTCAGGGTGATCATGTACCTTTAAGTTCCATTGATCAAACCACCCAGGTAAAACAGCTCAGTGTTCTCCTTGAGACCATTCTGATAAGGAAATTTACAGCTTTGATGTAAACATCCTAAACAAACAGCTGCTCAAATAGATATTGTATATTCTGGGATTGACAGTCCTATATGAGCTGGGTTCAGACCAGAGCAATCCAGCTCAGTTTCTATCTAAAGTGAACTTCTTTTTACAAAAGGACCAAAAAACTGAGTACAAGCAGGCCTCCAAGTAAGAAACTCAGACTTCCAAGTGAGCATCCGTACTATTCCCCCATCTTGGAAAAGGACTGCTCCCATAGCAGAGCTCAGCAAATGCAGAAGGTTTAATCCTGTTTTCCAGAGGTTCAAATCATCTCCCTACCTGCCCTCTTTCCCCACTCTACCTTCTCTTGACCTGACCCCTCTATTTTTAAATATGGGATCTCTATTCCCATGATATCCTAATTCTAATTGCTTTAGCCTTCTTAGTATTAGAAGAATGAAAAATCCTAAATTACATGCAAACTAAAAGAACACAGAGCTGTAGCAAGCAAAGTGAATCTCCTTCCCAGCCTTCTAGGAACAATTGTTAAAATTTTGAGCAACCACCGAATCCTGGCTTGGACAAGAATAGGAATTAACACCCTCACTATCACTCCACTCATCTCCAAATCTGCAAATCCCACCACCCACAAGCCATTGAAGCCATAATCAAACACTTCCTTAGTACAAGAAGCCGCCTCTGCATTCGTTGTCTTTTGAAGCAGAAACCAGTGAGACATTGGCAAATCAAACCACCCAATGTCCTGCCCCTACTGACAACAGCAATTGCAATCTTAACTAATCCCACTCCCATTCCATTTCTGATTCACAGAAGTGCTTAATCCCTGATCACTGCTATCGACAATAATTAAATTCACTGCCTCCCATCACCATTCTCTTCCTAACTCACTCTAAACTACTGTTCACCATAATCCTTGCCTGAGCAGCCCTAAGAGGCTGAATTGGACTAAATCAAACACAGATTTGAAAAATCTTAAGCATTCTCTCTTAGGTTGAATGGACATCATTATTATGGCTATAATAGGCAAACATCCCCTACTAACTTTCTATTTATACTTCCTAATAATTGCCACAACAGTCCTTGCTCTCAATGCAAACAAAGTTCAAAACCCACCATGATCATGGTCTAAAGAATAAAAATAACCACATAATAAAATATTAGCAGGACTTCCCCTGCTATCAGGTTTCCTGGCTAAATGACTAATGATTGAAAAACGTCCTAAACACAAAAAAACCCACCATAACAGACACAGTCATTGTCACACTCTCACTATGAGGATTGTTCTTGTACCTTCTTGTATCTTCTCCTCACATGCTACTCAACAAACACACTTCCACCACGCCAAAAAACAGCCCTAACCATAAATCTGTGCCTATCACTAACCAAAATGCTGCCCAACAAAACCCATAAACATAAATGATCATAACCCCTAAAAACTAAAAAAAAAAAAAAATTAGCCCTAACAAYTGAACCTGCAACCCAGTCCCTAAGCCTATACACAACTGTAGCATTAACCCTTATGACTGTATCTCTGTCATTAAAAATATTTGAAACTAACCACTCACCTTAAATTGAACCCCAGCTCTTGCCCTAAGCCTAAATGTAACCAAAATGACTGTTTCTTCAGGCAGCAGAACCCACTGTTGATGAAGTGTTCCTGACCTACAGGTTCCCAGGTTCCTGATCTATAGGACAATGCCCAATAATAGGTGAGCAAAAGGCTCTCAGCTAGAAATTACCTTGTGGGGTAGATGGTTCTTTTAAAATGGTAAGGCACTAATAGTCTTGGTGTTCAGTTGTTACTAATTTTGTCTTTTTCACTGCTGGTAATATGGGAAGATAGGTAAGTTTGGTGTGTGCCTCAAGGGGATTTTATTTTCAGTGATAACAGGCAGTGAATTAAATTGCATTATGTTGATTGTTAGATAACACTTCTTTCACTTATGTTCCTGACACAGCAACCTGTGAAAAAAATTCTTCCTTTCTCCATTCACTACATCTCCAAAGGAAGACATTGGGAGATGAAATTTCCCATTCAGAGACTAGGGTCTCACCACAGATAGCTTCTGGAATCATCATGCTGCTTTTTGGTCCCAGACTGAAGGGACTTTGTTTTCCCTTCCTCCTGGAGTAATCCACAGCTCTATGAATTAATTCTTTATACCTTCTTGATGAACTGTACTTTTAGCAGAGGAGCTGGCAATTTGCTGCAGTCAATATGGATTTCCATCTCTTTCCCACCAACTGAGGGGAGGCTGACTGGCCTCTTGTTTCCTGGATTGTCCTTGACAATGGATWCATTATCTGCCTTGTCCCACTCATCCCTTGATTGACACGACCTTTTAAGATGATGAAGAGTGSCCTTGTGGCATCTGCCAGCTCTGCTGGTGCTCTCAGACACCCAATATGGTGCAGAATCACAGAATGGGTATTGTTGGAAGGGACCACAGTGGGTCACCTGGTCCAACCTCCCTGCCCAAGGAGGGTCATCCCAGAACACATGGCACAGGAATGACAATTGAAAAAGTCCTTATTGTTATCCTTGACATCCATGGACAGTGTCAGGTAGGGAGTTTGACCAGGACCTGTCAAACCTTAGCACAAGAGTCCTGTGAGTCCAAGGAAAACAGAAACCTCCCACAGAGTAGAAGAGCAGGGTTTGATCTTGACTTTCAGTAAATACTGCACAAGAGCAGAGATTCAMAATCCTTCTGACTCTTTGAGTTTTAAGCAGGCACCCAGGAAACACTGAATGAAGAACTCGAGGCGTGAATCTCCATGAAAGCAACTTGGGCATGGAGGATGTTCTGCTCTATCCCCAGGAAGCAGAAATTCAGATTACTCCTCCAAGGATTGGTCACACTGGGGAAGACAAGGCTGTCTGAGCACTCCCATCACATCTGTCCCCCAAGAGCCCCTGAGGAGAGGGCCTGSAGAGGGGTCACAGGGAACCCACTGCCACATATGGGGAGCAGGGCTGGGACTTCCACCATGATAGACTCTGCAGGACTAGGAGGTGCAGRGAAGGGGAAAAATCAGTCCTCTCTCCTGGTCTGTCCTGGCAGTTGCTCCCTGTCCAGCATCCCATAACCCTACATCCCTCCCAGATGATATCCAAAGCTCTTAAGCTTGTATTTCCCAAACAATCCCACAAACAYCAGCCCCATCACCCTGTATGGCCTGGTTCCCTGCCTTCTTTCCCACCCCTCCCCATCCCTCTCACTGTTCCCTGAACTGCTCAAGAAGGAAAAGCCACTTTGCAGGGCAAACTGGGTGAGGATCCCAAACCTGCAATAATTTCACAAATAACTTCTGGGATAAGCACGTCCAAGCTATATCCCCCTCACCTGCTGATATCCTGCTTTCCTCCACTCACATGTTCCCCACAGACAACAAAAAGGCTTGTGCTAGAAGAAAACTGTTTAATTTTTTTAACAGAACTTTTTTCAACCCTTATTCCTCAGATTTTCCTTTTTTTTTGCAAAGATACAGTATTATCTGAACAACCTCTGCATATATATATATATATATATAAAATATATGTGTGTGCATATATTTATAAACTAAACAATCCTGCAAACTTTCATCACTCATAGCAGCCCTTCCTGCTTTGTAACAGAGAAGAAAACTCCAACAAAGGGCAAAAACACAGCCCCTCTCAACCAGAGGAACCAAACCACATCCATCTGTGGCTRGAGGGAATCCCACCAGCTCCACCTGGGAAGCATGGAGTGTAAATGCTTCTCTACAGATTTCCAGACACTGGCCATTGCTAGACAGTGCCATGCTGGGACATGTGCCACCTTCCTCTGTGCCCAGCCCTTGGGGAGAACACACCAAGGACAAGGAGCAGCCCTTTAACAGGTGGCAAGTGGTCCTCACTCTGCAGGTGGATTGTGACTTCCTAATTCAATTAAATACCTATAGGCAGAACTGGAGACAAGAGAAAAAGGCAAGATGTGTTTCTGAGAGAGGTGGCCACAGTAATAAAGAGCAATGTTCCAGCATATTAAAGAGTCACTGAGCAAGAAGCTTCCCAGAGGAGATGATTGTTCAGTCTGACAGCTCCTCCCTCCCTTTAAAGAAAAACATTAACACAAACTGATTGAGACAGAGTAGAGCCAGAGGTCCAAGCTGACAGGCTGGGTGGCAGAACACTTCTAGTCATAGCTATCATCATCATCAAARTAAGAATCACAATCTGATTCATTATCAATCATAAAGTTGTCTTCATCAAGGTCATCATCATCATCATAGTCTTCTTGCCACTGTGGATCATACTCCTCATCCTCAACCTCTTTGCCACCTTCATCTGTGTTGGGGGAGTCACACAGGATGGTACGTTTTTGCCTGTTGAAAAAGAGATGTAAGAGCAGAGCCTCTGCTGCAACACAGCCCCACAACACCCTCCTATCATTGTCTCAGCATCCAAAGAAACCCAGCTGAGTCCAAGGAGAGCAACTTCCAAAACTGAGTTTGTGTCAGTGAGCACAGGAGAAAACTCTGCTCACCTGCTTTTTGTYTGCACTCACTCACTCAATCACCTTCCCCTGTTACCCCGCTAAGAAAACTCACCCTGAACACACAAGGGCTGAATTAGGCACATTTGCGAGTTTCAGCTTTCCCTGAACAGCATCTCCTGAAGTCTGGAGCCCAACGTGGAAATCCTGTTAGCAGGGAAGAACAGCCAAAATAGAGAGAAACAATATTTACTGTTTATTGTGATTTAGGGTGTATTTTGTGCTGCAAATCATGCACACACACAATCCTGAGTTTATCCCCTCAGCCAACTGAGCCCTTTGGTTTGCCCACCATCAAATCAGAGCAGAGCAACACAAGCCATGAACAGGAATGTGGCCTTCACCTGTGTGGAGTGCCAAAGAATTGCAAAGAGACGCTCCTTGATCTGCCGCACCAGCTCCAAACCCGCACGGAAATGCTCAGCTTTCAGGAGCTSAAGAGAAGTGGCCAAGTCCTGGTACTTCAGCAGGGTCTCCTCTGCAATTCAAGGTAAACAAAGTCATGCTGCATCCCCCAYTCTTGAGCAGAGACCAAGTCCTTGGCTCTGATTATGAAGCCACCCATAGCTACTCAGATCTCCTGTGCACAGACATCTCCTCTTTCAGAACAGAACATGCTGCTCTTTACTGCATCAATCTTCACTGGCAGYCAGTAAATTTCCTCAGAAATTATACAAAAAATGGACTGGGAGAAGTGAGGCCACCTGGGTGTTGGTACATGTGCTAATGCCCCACTACAGAACTGCTGCTCTTTGAATACAGCTGGAAAAGCTACTCACTGCTTCAAAGAGGTTGCAGGACTTACCCAGAAGGATCTGCAGAGCATTAGTGAGCAGCTCGAGGCTCTCAGTCTGCTGTTCCACAATATCCATGCTTTCAGTGTCCTGGTTATAGTAGCTGTACACACAGGAGTAGGCCAGCACCTGGAAAAGTACAGATCATGCTGCTAAGCACCTTCCTGCAACTTCAGAATGGGCAAGAAGAGAGCAGCTTTCTTCCAGACCTCATGATTGGAAATGAGCGTGCAATTATTTTATGTTGAAATCTGAAATAAATGATTGTTCCCACCTGCAAACCTTCACAAGAACACAGACTGTAAATGCATAACAGGTGTGACTGACCAGCAGGCAAAGAGTCAAACCCACCAGCACACAGGTAAGTATCTTCACTGGGGCATTTCTAATAGGAATGGACCAAACCCAGTAGATGAAAACCCTAAATATAGATTTGTGTTGATTCCATGGTGTCAGCTTGAGCTAAGGTCCAAATCCTATGACTTGGAGAGTAGGAACACTGCAATCAGAGCTCAACTCAGACTGAGAGCAGGGAAAGGCAGACATGAGTTCTTTCCCCTGTCCTGAGGCTCTTCCACCCTCAAGCTTTCTGTGTCTCCCTTTTTTCAGAGAAGAAAAAGAGCATGAAACACACCAATAAAATTAAGTGCAAACCTCAGCAGGACTATTACCCAGCCTTACCTTCCGTGCCTGTTCTAGCACTTTGCAGGCATCAAGAACAAAKGTCAAGTTCCTAATTTTTGGCATAGTTCTGATGGAAGAAACGCTGTTCCTCAGACTTATGGCAAATTCCTGCAATAACCAAAGGAGGGGGAAAAAAAGTCAATGTCACTGCCAAGCTCCACAAGATTGAAAAAACAGCACCTTCCACACAAATAATTGCTAAGATTTCTGAAGTGCCAGCCCAGAACAGGCAGGCAGCAGCAGAGCATTGAAAGCATCAAACTGTGGCATCTCTACTGAGCCATCACTTCAGGCTTTTGCAGTATCTCAGTTCTAGGCAGAGTTCAGCCTTCAGCCATCATTGCTTCCACCCAYTGCACCATTTTGAGCCCCTGAACACAAGTCAGGTGCTCAGTTTCCACAACAGGCTTGATAAGGAAAGCAGACCAAGGGCTACCCCTCAATGTCAGAGTGAAACKATCAGGCATCTCCACCCAGATGTAAAGCCTGCTTCTCAGCAGAGAAGACACTGACACAAAGGAAAYTGCCCTGCTCACCAGGGCTGAGGCAGCAGGCAGCATCTGCAGAGGAAGGARGAGGCCTTACCCTTGCGTGGTGATGAAAGGTGCATCTCTCGTTGTAATCCTGGAAACGCTTCTCCTGCCAAGCTGCTTTACTCACCTGAAAGGAAAGGTACAAGAACCYGTAGCAATTTCCCTCAAGTACCAGGGCTACCTGGAAATGGCYACCTCATGCCAATATTACTGGCAAATGCACAAAATCCAGAGTAAAGGGCCCATGAGGAGATCCCCACCATCTCTGAGGCCTCTGAACCATGGGGATGCAGCAACCCACTCACCATAGCAGAGCAGTTGTAATAATCCTTGTGATTGGGCCTCCAGGGCTTGAGGCAGCGCCAGCAGAAGCCGTGGTTACACTTTGCACATGTCATACTGCAGGGCAGAAGGACAAGGGGAATCACTCAGCCCCAAAAGCCACTTGCAGACAGCTCCTTCCAGTCACAAACAAAAATGTATACTCACTGCAGACACCCCTCATTTTTCTCTATCTGAGCCTGGCAGTTCGGGCAGTGCTTTGAAATGAGCTTAGCCAGATGTTTGCTTTGGGCTTCACTCGTCATTCCCTCGTAGTATCCATCATCATCCACCCAGCGAGACATGTGGCTGCAGCTGGCAGGATAATGGGCCTGAGAGAGAGGGAGACAATCAGTCAACCCCACAAAAGCAGAAGGGTGTGTGCCAAACCTAAAGCTGTGATCTAGCTTGGCCTCACCTCTGGGAAGCTGCAGTTGAAGCAGGATATCCAGGAGCACTTGGAACAGGCTGCTCCATAACCAAGTCCATCCTTGAGGAGGATCTGATCACAGCCCTGAGGGTTGGTGCACCACGTCAGGTTGGAGCAACACTCAACATAGCGTCGGAGGAGGGCTTTTTCATACTGGAATGAGAAGCCACAGAAGCTGCATGAAGGCCTGGCAACCAGGGTCTGGTGCTCTGGGCTATGCATCTCACCAAATGACTGCTCACAACAGCATTCAGTCAGTTTACCCYTTCATCCTTTTGTGTAAATTTTTCTATCCCCCCCATATCATATCTGGAGGCTGTTTCATTTCACAGAACTGCTGAGGTTGGAAGGCATTCCTGGAAATGAAACCTGGTCCARCCYCTCCAGATTAGAGCAGGATTGCTCRGGACCATGTCCAGTTGGGTTTTAAATACATCCAAGCATAAGAGACTRCAAACCTCTCTGCCCAACCTGGTCCAGTGTCTCATTACCATTACTACCAACCCCTCACCCCAGTCCTAACAACCAGTTTCCTTGTGATTAAATATAAATCCAGCAGTAGATCTTCATAAAATAATCTGGTTATTTTGAGCTCAGGGTTGGACTAGAGACCTCTACAGATTATTGCAACCAAAAATATTCTATGACTATGAGTCTGTGCATGAGACATTAACACTCCAGGCCATATCACTTACTGATCAAAAGGAAAACACAACATTTCAGTGAGAATATCACAGCAACTTGTTAAAATTAGCTGCTATTTATGTCCACCTGCAATAATTGTTTCCTTTTATAAAACAGTCACAAAAACAGGCTGTTAAATCATGCTTTCAGACAGGTGTGACTGTGGGATTTAAAAGCAGTAAGGACTAATTGTCCAGATATATGGACTAATTCTCCAAATACTTCCTCTAAAAAACAAGAAAAAAAATATACTTGTCAAAGCAGTGGAAAAGAGACTGTTCTGCCCAGCAACTCACAGTCTGTCATGTGACAGCTACAGCTCTGCCATCAGGTGGGGAAGGCAGTGCTAATAACTWAAACCTGAAAGAACAGAAAAAGTAGCCTCTGCCTCAGAACAAGCAGCTGCTGCTGAAGCCTGATGACCAGGGACTAAGGTAAGCAGAGAAAGAAAGCCTGGTTTAGAGTTATTTAGTCTCTTAGAGTGAAGATTACACAGACTTAGAGAGAAGATCTCATGTGGTAATTCCACACCATCTTCACAAAAACCTGAACTGCTCAAAGCCAGAGACTCATGGAAGGGATAGGACATAGGGGTCACTGATGCAGCAGTAAAATGAAATTGCTCATGTTTTCATTTGGCCTAGATTTTTATTTTATTCTTATTATTATTATTTAATTAGAGGATACTTGTCATGAGCTGCTACCATGGCTCTCYTCTAGTCCTGAACTAATGATGTCCCTGAAATGTTGTTTGCTGGAGACATATTTAGAGGAAACACCACTGTGCTCTTTTGCTGATGTTATGCTTTCCTGAATTGCTGGTATTGACCATAATCACAGACAACAGACAAAATCTGGTTGGCCTCTATTATCACACTGCCAGTCTTGGTAGCAGGAAGGGGAAAAGCAGCAACAAAATCATCTGATAGTGCTGACCAAAATGAAAAGAGAGCTTGGCCACCCAGCAAGCAGCCCTTGTACCTCACCTTGGCTATAATCTCCTCTGAGGACACAATGGAGTAGATGAAGGCTGTGGTTGGCTGTGCACGGCACTCGGATATGGGACAGGTGCAGTTGACAATCATGTTCTGCTCAATGCGAGTCGTGAGATACTCCCTCCAACAGGGCTGCCAGGGCACGAGGGGAGAGATCAGACCTAAACRGGGTCGTGTGAGCCTGGAAGCCCTCCCCACACAGCAGAGGGTGCACAAAACCCCACAGATCATGGGTAAGTACTCAAAAGCACTAAAGTGGGAATGGACAAATCAGGGGGTGAAGGATCGCAACAAAAAAGGGAGCTGAGAAAAGAGAATGTGTAAGTTCTGAAAAACGCCCTGGTAACACCTCCAGACTAAGAACAGCTGCTCCAAAGAACAGCAGCAATTGCCTGCCAAGTAGCAGCAAACAAAGACACCAGGATTTTCACCTTGCAACAGTAGTGCATGCAGCAAAGGGTTGGTGGCTTCTCAGTGGGACACAGCTGGTTCACACAGACTGGGCAGTGGGCTCCAGGGCTTGGGGGAGGCTGGACATCCTGCACTTGCAGCCCTGAGGAGATGAGCAGGGCCTCACGGTTCTCCACGTAGCATTGGATCAGGAAATCCACATTCCACCTACAGTGRGTGAGCAGGTGCCGAGCAACATCGTCTGATATGCTCAGAGTATCCTGGACCTGCTGTACTGTCTGGTTCATGAGCAGCTTTGCCTCCTCCGGGCTGAGCGTATGCCCCATGGGCACCTGCAGCATTGCCATGAGATATTCCTCCGCCCTGTCTGTGCCAGGATTCAGCCTGGCATGGAGAAATGTGTCACATTCACACAAGCTGGAGATGCACACCCCTCCACACCTGGTGACGTGCAACCCTACCAGTGCAAGCTGTCGCCGCTGTTCTCCTCGGGAGATGCATGTGCTGGCCTGCACTGGAAAGTCATCTGTGCTTGGCCACCAAGGGGGGTTGTGGATTCAGCAGAGATGTATTCCAGGACGTGAGGCCGCCCCTCCTGGCGCCGCAGGTAGCCCTGGTTCAGCAGGTGCAGGATGCAGGACAGCACRTCCACGCTGTGGCAGCAGAAGCTCAGGAACTGCACCCCCGGGCCCAGCTCGCCCTTCTGACAGGCATCGATCACCTGCGGCACGAGGGAGCCCCACTGCAGCGGCCGCAGCCCCCGGGCGGCCCCCGCGGCCCCGGGCACGGCCCCGTACCCTGAACACCAGGCTGTCCATGTGCAGCTGCTTCTCCGCCTTGAGGATGCGCGCGATGAGGCAGCACAGGACGTTCCTCTTCCTCTCCAGGGCGCTCACCTCGGCCCGCTCCGTGCGCAGGTACCTCTGCTGGGGCAGMAGCCTCAGCCGGCGCCCGCGGGCCTGGGCCAGGGCTGCCCGGTTCAGCCGCAGTGCACCTGGAGCCAGCGCCCAAGCCAGGCTCAGCCGAGCCCAGAGCCGGGCCCAAGAGAGCCCC